GAATGAGGTGTGCCTGTGTTGGAATTCAACAGATACTGGAATGGAATGGCTGTCATACATGTAGAGATGCTGATTTAAGAAAAATTTGCAATGGTCTCTTAATTTTTTCCACAGTCAAAAGTTTGGAGATACCGACTCATTACAGGGTTTTCTTAATTTTTACTATTTTCTACATTGTAGAATAATAGTGAAGACATCAAAACGATGAAATAATACATATGGAATCGTGTAGTAACCAAAAAAAGTGTTAAACAAATCAAATTATATTTTATATTTGAGATTCTTCAAAGTAGCCACCCTTTGCCTTGATGAAAGCTTTGCACACTCTTTGCATTCTCTCAACCAGCTTCACAAGGTAGTCACCTGGAAGCATTTCAATTAACAGGTGTGCCTTGTTATAAGTTAATTTGTGGAATGTCTTTCCTTCTTAATGCGTTTGAGCCAATCAGTTGTGTTGTGACAAGGTAGGGGTGGTATGCAGAAGATAGCCCTATTTGGTAAAAGCCCAAGTCCATATTATGGCAAGAACAGCTCAAATAAGCAAAGAGAAACGACAGTCCATCATTACTTTAAGACATGAAGGTCAGTCAATCCGGATAATTTCAAGAACTTTGAACGTTTCTTCAAGTGCAGTAGCAAAAACCATCAATCGCTATGATGAAACTGGCTCTCATGAGGACCGCCACAGGAAAGGAAGCCCCAGAATTACCTCTGCTGAAGAGGATAAGTTCATTAGAGTTACCTGCCTCAGATTGCAGCCCAAATAAATGCTTCACAGAGTTCAAGTAACAGACACATCTCAACATCAACTGTTCAGAGGAGACTGTGTGAATCAGGCCTTCATGGTCGAATTCCTGCAAAGAAACCACTACTAAAGGACACCAATAAGAAGAAGAGACTTGCTTGGGCCAAGAAACACGAGCAATGGACATTAGACCAGTGGACATCTGTCCTTTGGTCTGATGAGTCCTAATTTGAGGTTTTTGGTTCCAACCGCCGTGTCTTTGTGAGACGCAGAATAGGTGAACGGATGATCTCTGCATGTGTGGTTCCCACCGTGACGCATGGAGGTGTGATGGTGTGGGGGTGCTTTGCTGGTGAGACTGTCTGTGATTTAATTAGAATTCAAGGCACACTTAACCAGCATGGCTACCACAGCATTCTGCAGCGATACGCCATCCCATCTGGTTTGGGCTTAGTGGGACTGTCATTTGTTTTGCATCAGGACAATGACCCAAAACACACCTTCAGGCTGTGTAAGAGCTATTTGACCAACAAGGAGAGTGATGGAGTGCTGCATCAGATGACCTGGCCTCCACAATCACCCAGCCTCAACCCAATTGAGATGGTTTGGGATGAGTTGGACTGCAGAGTGAAGGAAAAGCACCCAACAAGTGCTCAGCATATGTGGGAACTCCTTCAGGACTGTTGAAAAAGCATTCGAGGTGAAGCTGGTTGAGAGAATGCCAAGAGTGTGCAAAGCTGTCATCAAGGCAAAGTGTGGCTACTTTGAAGAATCTAAAATCTAAAATATATTTTGATTTGTTCAACACTTTTTTGGTTTCTACATGATTCCATATGTGTTGTTTCATAGTTTTGATGTCTTCACTATTATTCTGCAATGTAGAAAATAGTAAAAATAAAGAAAAACCCTTGAATGAGTAGGTGTGTCCAAACTTTTGACTGGTATTGTATATATGCTCTTTCTATAGACTGACCAGGTGAATCCAGGTGAAAGCTATGATCCCTTGTTGATATCACTTGTTAAATCCACTTCAATCAGTGTAGATGACATGGAGGAGACAGTTTAAAGAAGGATTTTTAAGCCTTGAGACAATTGAGACATGGATTGTGTATATGTGCCATTCAGAGGGTGAATGGGCAAGACAAAAGATGTATGTGCCTTTGAATGGGGTATGGTTGTAGTCGACCATGAGCGCTGGTTTGAGTTTGTCAAGAACTGCAACCCGCTGCTGGGTTTTTCACGCTCAACAGTTTCCTGTGTGTATCAAGAATGATCCACCACCCAAAGGACATCCAGCCAACTTGACACAACTGTGGGAAGTATTGGAGTCAACATTGGCCATTATCCCTGTGGAACGCTTTCAACACCTGGTAGAGTCCATGCGCTGATGAATTAGGTGTTCCTAATGTTTTGTGCACTCAGTGTATATAAAGAGTTATATCAAGAATATTTAGGCTAGTTAGCTGGGTAACTCTTGATCCTGTAGTATACCCCTAAGAAAAGAAAGGTATCTGTATCAAAAAGGCTCATGATGGGCCCTATATACTATTGGAATAATAATGGCCAAGCCTATGAATAGATTTTTGAACAACATATGCACTGCATTGAGAGAAAGGCACAGGGAAGGTTGAAATGTTGCCTTTCGTTTGTTTTTCACAGAGATACTTCATTTTCAATCAATTATTTAGATTGTCATATGTCGGACCACATGAGGTGTAGCCTGCTTTCTCATGCTGAGGCGAAAATTGTCAAAACATAGCATATGCCTTGTTAGAATTAGACACAGTCTTCTAATCGCAGAATCATCCATTGGAATATAACAGATATTGATCACCAATCCAGTTATAGCCTATCTATCTCATATAAACAAATGTCGAGGGAAATGATGATGCAGAGGTTTCACAACGTCTCGTATAAGAAATATTGCCAAAATGCAATAATTTCTTACACAAACGTGTAGGCATACAACATTATATATACAAAAACATCATTAGAATTGTATAGAAAATATAGAGCTATAGCAGATATGACATGTAAGAGACAGACCAGGAACACCTCCATTTCATTTTCACGCTGTCTATGTATTACCTTTTGAGAGGTGAAAGACTGCGTCCAGTGATACAAAACAAGCTTGTCTTTAGAGAAATTAGGTTTCGACTCTATAGCTGGCTCTTCGCTTTTCTCCCCATCTGTAATTTCACCGTCTTCATCCATGGCTGAGATGGGCCACCAGCTACAGTTGGTGGGGGTAACATTGTTCGAAGACGCCATGACAGAGGGTTTTGTGAGTGTGAGAGAGGACCAAGGGAGGGAGAGAGGAGAGATGGAGGGAGGGACAGAGAAGAAAGGAGCGAGAACAGGAGTGCAAAGGATTTCAGCACCACGAGCAGAGCATCATCGATTCAACGCGACGCGGCAGCATCAATTTTGGACAGCGCCCGGTGCTGAATTCTTGCGTTGGCAAAAATGGTATAGCGTAATCCACATAACGTTAACCCTTTACTCGAGCATGGGAATACGTTTACAATTAAATCATTGCGTAAGCTATTACATCACACACGCACAAACATGAGCCAGTGATGGGAGGTTGCATTTTACAAGGAGGTCAAAGTGCTCTCAATGAGGAAATGGGTGTAGGAGAGCTGTTATTGATAGGACTTTGTTTTAAAAATTATAATGGCCAATATTGATAGTTGAATTAAAATGCATCCAAAGCAAATTGGTTATTTTTAGGTCGAAATAGGCTACAGTATAGGGTTCCCCAGTCCTACTAATGATTGTGCAATTTAGCTTCATTGAATTATTTGCATTAACCCTTCTCCTTTTACTAATAAAAAACGGAATTAATCCACGTTTATAGAGCAATTTAGATGTTTTTATTGTTTGTTTTCTTTAACCACAAATATTGCAATGATTGACCTGTGCCAGTAGATGGTGCGACTTTTACATGTTGGGGCTGAGCAATCAGGATCCTAGTCACTGGGTCATAGTGCCACAACGCATACCAAGCAAGCCTCAAGGTGGCGTTCAGCTAAGTGCTCAAATAAAGATGAAGGGTCGTGCAGAATATGAAATGTTCCAAGATAAATTCGGCGTCTGTAAATGGCAGCAGTTCAAGTTTTGAGTTGCATCATATGAATTGAAGCAATACGAATTTAGAGTCAATTTAGTTTTTTAGGACTGTGTAGGCCCTCCTGTAGCTCAGTTGGTCGAGCATGGCGCTAGCAACGCCAGGGTTGTGGGTTTGATTCCCACGGGGGGCCAGTATGAAAAATGTATGTACTCACTAACTGTAAGTCGCTCTGGTTAAGAGCGCCTGCTACATGACTAAAAATGTAAATGATAGCTTACTTTCGCATCCATAGCCTATTGGCTCCCATGAAGGAAATAATGACAGTATTCAAGCAGTGTTACTGTTTTTCCACTACTAAGATTTAAAGCCATCCTTTTATTTTGTTTTGAAATGTTTGTTTTAACCACATGTTGTTGATGGTGCATAGTTGATTGACACCTTATTAAAATAGAAGATAAGGCCTATTTAAACGCTCTGTCTTCAGTGTGTTACTGTGGATATACCCTACGCATGCCCAACTCTGAAGTGGCGAGTGATCTGAGATGACTCCTTGCAGCAGAGTAAGGATTGGGTTGTATTTTTTGGAACAGTGTGTGTGGATCTGGTCGCCTTGTTAGGTCTGCTTAAACATTTACAACAGCACCAAGTGTTTGGAGATAGCAGCGGAGAGCGAGGGGAAGCAGGGACAGGGGAAAGGGGCTTTTCTATGGCCACCTTGGAAAGCCATGCAAGATCCCTGTCTCAACCAGAAAGATAATACATTCAAAGACAGTTAAACTAAATAATGGCATATTAGTATTATCTCTGGGGGGAGGGGGGGGGGGGGGGGGGGGGGGGGACAACAACCGTAACAAATCTTACTCAGTCAGCACAGAGGCTGCATTAAGTTCATGACTCTGAAATCGACCGGTGATCAACAGAAAATCCATGAAGGGAATAAGATACAATAAGAAAAATGCGCGCCTAAATCAAGTTTGAAGGGTCTCGAGCGCAAGGCTACGTGAAAAATACAAATAAATTCTAAGCACAGTACCAAGGATATCCTAGATCGTTTTTGATGACAGGTGAAGGTGGATGCAGTCTGAAGGAAGATATTTTATCTTGACCAAGATTTTTTTTTAAGTCATTGATTTGACTTTACCTTTGAAACGACATTTTTGTCTGGAGTCACAGAAGGGAGGTATGAGTGGAGGTCGTTTTGAATTTGATGATGGCGGAGCTTATTGTGGTGGTTGGGAGGGTGGCAAAGCCCATGGGCATGGGATCTGCACCGGACCTAAAGGACAGGGCGAGTTCTCCGGCTCCTGGAATTACGGGTTTGAAGTAGTTGGAGTGTACACCTGGCCAAGCGGAAACACCTTTGAAGGCTTCTGGTCGCAAGGGAAGCGCCATGGTCTAGGAGTTGAAACTAAAGGACATTGGGTTTACAAGGGAGAATGGACTCATGGCTTCAAGGGGAGATATGGCTTGCGTCTGAGTGTGGGTAGTGGAGCAAAATATGAAGGAACATGGAATAACGGATTGCAAGATGGATATGGCACAGAGACATATGCTGATGGAGGTATGGGATCGTTTTTCTATTCTATTATGTTGTCCAGTGTCTGGAGGTGGGCTTGCCACTTAATCATGTACCAGCCATGTAATGGCATTTAATTAAATCAAGTATATGTAAGTGAATCTGTAATTTATCATATGTAATAGCAATGCAATAACAGTGTAATAATATTGTACCTTTACTGCACATCCATTTGCCTCACTTGACATTTATCTTACTTTACATTTAACATTTGAAGAAGGGTAGAGGTAATTGCATAGGATGGGTATTTATTTTCTGTAGTGCTGATATAAGTGCAGCTGAAGGTATAGCATCAGGGATATGAGTGATTATCTACAGTACAGTAGGCTATACAGTACAATACCAATGGCCCATTTGGGTGTTTTATATGAGAATGAATGACTAAAGCTTGCACCAGTGAACCAAGGAGAGGAACCCAAGTGTTGCTGCAGATGGTCCATTGGGATCTTGCCCATTGCTAAGGACCTCTTGCCAAAGTATAGTGGCAGTGGAAGGCACATTAGGGGTGTGTGTCAATACAAAGTGTGTCCTATGATGTGGGAAGTTAAACTAAGCTGTCTTAGCTGTTTTAGTTTCATTGTTGTCACACACATACAGAAGAAGTAATGGGCCCGGTGCTGATTGGTCGCCCCTGTCTATATAATCTTGATCAAACTGAGCCTAGATCAGCACTCCTACTCTGAGACGCCCTAAAGAACTGGTGAGAGAGTGACGGAACATTAACAGGAGAAACAAGACTGATTGCTCGACAATGTTGAATGAATGAACAGTAGCTTAGGCAGAGGAGTTCGCAAAAGCACATGCAGTAGAGATCTAGGACTAGGCTATATCTTCTCATACTGTAACTGTACACTTGAACATGCTGAAAGATCACACCAATAATATTGGTGGCTATGCTGTCTGCTTAAAGCCCCTGGTCCCCTCAGTAGCTGACTCATCAGATTTGGGCCCATTTGATTGGTTGATTGGGAGATTCTGTCAGGAAGTAATAATAGCCCAGCAGGCTGCTGTGTCCTCTTGGCCTCACAGTCCAGCTATAGATACAGCCAATGGCATCCAGACACAGATTTTGCATGACAGACTAGACCCATGATTAGTTTGGGTAACATGAAAAACTTGCACTGTAGTCTTTCACGCAAACTATAGGCCTACCTATCAAATCATATGTTACTGTGTTGATGTACTTCATAGTGTAGGACAAAGTAGAAATAATGTGTCAGTGTTCTCTATCATGTTATAGTTCCTGACCAGCATTGATTCCACATAGTCTAAGTTACTTCAACGTTACAATTATGCAATTTATTCTGCTTTCAAAACAAAACCACTCATCTCACACTGTTGATTTACCTTGCAGTGACATACGGGTGATGATAATGAGTTAAATAGCCAGCCCACACATTTTCAATGAAATTGTGTAGGACATGTGAGGCTAGTGAAGACTGTTTAGTCTATATCTTGTCTATTTTTGTAGATGTTAATATATCCATCAATGCCCTCTGTTTCTTTCCAGGCACATTTCAGGGCCAGTTTACTGGCGGTATGCGAAACGGGTACGGAGTCCGTCAGAGCGTGCCCTACGGTATGGCGGCGGTGGTTCGCTCCCCTCTCCGCACCTCCCTCACCTCCCTCCGCAGCGAGCACAGCAACGGCACCTTGCTCCAGCAGGATGTCCCCGCCATCACCACCACCAACGTCGCCGGCCAGGAGACCCGGGTCACCACGCCCACCCAGCTGGGGCCCTCCCGGGGCGGCTTCGCCCTGACACTCCAGGTGGACCCGGACGCCGTTAAACCCAAGAAGAAGGGCCTGTTCCGAAGGGGGTCTCTCCTGGGGAAACTAACGAAGTCAGACTCCCGTACGTCCTTATCCAGCGTGAAGAGCAAGTTAAGCTTCCTGGGATCGAGGAGCGAATCAGCGCTAAGTTCTGCTGCCAGCAATGTGGCCTGTGATGCCAACTCCACCATCAGTCTGGGAGACGAGAGCCTGGCCGGGGCGGATGAATTCCCCCCCGTGGAGGCCGACATCGATGCCACCACCACAGAGGTCTACATGGGGGAGTGGAAGAACGACAAGCGCTCGGGCTATGGAATAAGCGAACGGTCCAGTGGTCTGAGGTATGAGGGTGAGTGGTTGGACAACCAGCGACACGGCTATGGATGCACTACCTTCACGGAGGGGGGCAAGGAGGAGGGAAAGTATATGAACAATATGCTGGTGAAGGCCATGAAGAAAAGGGTGATCCAACTGAAGGGCACCAAGATCCGGCAGAAGGTGGAGCGCAGTGTGGAGGGAGCTCAGCGTGCCTCTGCCATCGCCAAACAGAAAGCAGAGATCGCTGCTTCCAGGTATAGACATACTCTGAGCATACCAAACACCTTCCTAATACTGAGTTGCACCCCCTTTTGCACTCAGAACAGCCTCAATTAATTGGGCATGGACTCTACAAGGTGTCAAAAGCGTTCCACAGGGATGCTGGCCCATGTTGACTCCAATGCTTCCCACAGTTGTGTTAAGTTCACTGGATGTCCTTTGGGTGGTGGACCATTCTTGATACATTTACATTTTAGTAGACACTCTTATCCAGAGCAACTTACAGTAGTCGTTGCATACATTTTCTTCATACTTGTCCCCCATGGGAATCAAACCCACAACCCTGCGTTGCAAGCGCCATGCTCTACCAACTGAGCTACACGGGACACACACGGGAAACTGTTGAGCGTGAAAAACCCAGCAGCTTTGCAGTTCTTGACACAAACCGGTGCACCTGGTACCTACTACCATACGCCGTTCAAAGGCATTTCAATCTTTTGTTTTGCCCATCCACCCTCTGAATGGCACACATACACAATCCAAGTCTCAATTGTCTCAAGGCTTACACATTCTTCTTTAACCTGCCACCTCCCATTCATCTACACTGATTGAAGTGGATTAACAAGTAACATCAATAAGCGATTATAGCTTTCACCTGGAGTCACCTGGTCAGTCTATGTCATGGAAAGAGCAGGTGTTCTTAATGTTTTGTACACTCAGTGTATATACAGTTGAAGTTGGAAGTTTACATACACTTAGGTTGGAGTCATTAAAACTCGTTTTTCATCCACTCCACAAATGTATTGTTAATGAACTATAGTTTTGGCAAGTCGGTTAGGACATCTACTTTGTGCATGACACAAGTAATTTTTCCAACAATTGTTTACAGACAGATTATTTCACTTATAATTCACTGTATCACAATTCCAGTGGGTCAGAAGTTTACATACACTAAGTTGACTGTGCCTTTAAACAGCTTGGAAAATTCCAGAAAATGATGTCATGGCATTAGAAGCTTCTGATAGGTTAATTGACATCATTTGAGTCAATTGGAGGTGTACCTGTGGATGTATTTCAAGGCCTACCTTCAAACTCAGTGCCTCTTTGTTTGAAATCATGGGAAAATCAAAAGAAATCAGCCAAAACCTCAGAAAGAAAATGGTAGACCTCCACAAGTCTGTTTCATCCTTGGGAGCAATTTCATAACACCTGAAGGTACTACGTTCATCTGTACAAACAATAGTACGCAAGTATAAACACCATGGGACCACGCATCCATCATACCGCTCAGGAAGGAGACGCGTTCTGTCTCCTAGAGATGAACGTACTTTGGTGCGAAAAGTGCAAATCAATCCCAGAACAACAGCAAAGGACCTTGTGAAGATGCTGGAGAAAACAGGTACAAAAGTATCTATATCCACAGTAAAACGAGTCCTATATCGACATAACCTGAAAGGCCACTCAGCAAGGAAGAAGCCACTGCTCCAAAACCGCCATAAAGAAGCCAGACTACGGTTTGCAACTGCACATGGGGACAAAGATCGTACTTTTTGGAGAAATGTCCTCTGGTCTTGATGAAACAAAAATAGAACTGTTTGGCCATAATGACCATCGTTATGTTTGGAGGAAGCCGAAGAACACCATCCCAACCGTGAAACACGGGGATGGCAGCATCATGCTGTGGGGGTGCTTCGCTGCGGGAGGGACTGGTGCACTTCAAAATTATGTGGATATATTGAAGCAACATCTCAAGACATCAGTCAGGAAGTTAAAGCTTGGTCACAAATGGGTCTTCCAAATGGACAATGACCCCAAGCATACTTCCAAAGTTGTGGCAAAATGGCTTAAGGACAACAAAGTCAATGTATTGGAGTGGCCATCACAAAGCCCTGACCTCAATCCTATAGAAAATGTGTGTGCAGAACTGAAAAACCATGTGCGAGCAAGGAGGCCTACAAACCTGACTCAGTTACACCAGCTCTGTCAGGAGCAATGGGGCCAACATTCACCCAACCTATTGTGGGAAGCTTGTGGAAGGCTACCCGAAACGTTTGACCCAAGTTAAACAATTTAAAGGCAATGCTACCAAATACTAATTGAGTGTATGTAAACTTCTGACCCACTGGGAATGTGATTAATGAAATTAAAGCTGAAATAAATCATTCTCTCTACTATTATTCTGACATTTCACATTCTTAATATAAAGTGGTGATCCTAACTGACCTTAGACAGGGAATATTTACTAGGATTAAATATCAGGAATTGTGAAAAACTGAGTTTAAAGGTATTTGGCTAAGGTGTATGTAAACTTCCGACTTCAACTGTACATGACTGGGATAGACTAGGTGATTATGATCAGACACATTTTTAGCATTTTTTAACACCAAAATAACAAGCACACTATTTCAACCCATTGTGTTATAACTGTTTATTACCTATGTCCTATGTATAAACAATTACTTACCTTCTTTAAAAAAACTTTATAAATCCTTCAAGTACACAACATTTCTCTCTATAACAACTTCCTCTATGCCTCACCTCCCCTCTCCCAGTATTCCCTTAAACATTTCACTAAGAAGAGCAAGGCTCTGCTTCAATGTCAATGTTAAATGTTTTAGTCACTGATGCCTACTTCTGCATAGCAGTGCATGGACAAGAGGGCTACTGTATGGCACTGAATGGTAAGAAGAGTGATCTTGGCAAATAAAGAAACCTTTGAGTTAGTTCAGAATCAGCAGTTGCAGGTGTTGCTCCCATGACTTCTCTGGCTGTGGTCACAATAGGAACCATAGAGAACACAGAGGAAAACGTTACTTCTCTATGTGGAGTTACCAGGCTCTTTATAGACAGTTGGTAACTGAACGAGCAGTGTCTTTCTGCCTCTGCCATGTTTGAACTAGCCTTAGATCAGAGATCATGTTTGAACTAGCCTTAGATCAGAGATCATGCTTGAACTAGCCTTAGATCAGAGATCATGTTTGAACTAGCCTTAGATCAGAGATCATGTTTGAACTAGCCTTAGATCAGAGATCATGCTTGAACTAGCCTTAGATCAGAGATCATGTTCGAACTAGCCTTAGATCAGAGATCATGTTCGAACTAGCCTTAGTTCAGAGATCATGCTTGAATTCTTGCATCCATTTTTCCTTGCTACTCTCATGTGCTAGAGGACAGCCCTGGTAGAAGAAGGCTGTTTATTGACACCACTGTTCGTTGACAGCACAGTGCCTCAAACAATGAAAATGAAAGCCATTCTCCTCCTTCAGTGTATGGGGATCCAGGTGAAGAGAAAAGTCAGCTTTGTCAAATAGAAATGACTGTCAAGTTCAAAAGGGGAAGAAGCAATGTCATGGTTTCAGTTTGCTGTGCAGCCCCTTGGCATAATGGTGACATGGGCCTTTCTCTAAAAAGTTGTCTGTTGGATTCCCTGACATCCCTCTTACCTTTACTGTTTGCGTCATGTGTGTGACTCTGGGTATTGTGACAGCAATGGCTGTATCAATGCGTTGCGTTGTGCATAAGAACAGCGCTGAGCCGTGGTATATTGGCCATATACCACACCCCCTCGTGCCTTATTGCTTAATTCTATTGCCTTCCACTATAAGCCACATCTCGGAGGAGCTAGCATACTTGACCGTAAGGGAACCTAGCTGCAGTGCACTTCAGTTTAGATTGATACGCTTTTGAGAGAGGGTGTTCGTTGAGACTCTTCTATTTGCTGATAGGGAGGTAAGTCTCTGAGGTATCACTTTACAATGAAGCTTTGATATCTGACCAAGCATATCAGAATTTGATTTTGTTCTTTGTGTACTGTAGGCCTAGACCTTGTTTGCACTCTTACATACTTAGGCTACCGACACAGAGAAACAGTCAATGACGGTCAAGATGACACAGGTTTCCTCTGTGCCTCACCAAAGAAGGCAGCAGTGTATATATCTACTGTAAGCCACAACAGCACCTGAAATAAGCCCAATGTTTACAACAGTAAGTTTACGTCCCAAATGGCACCCTATTGCCTTTATAGTGCACTACTTTTGGCCAGGGCCCATAGGGTAGTGCACTATATAGGAAATAAGGTGCCATTTGGGACGCATCCTAAGGCTCTGGCTGATGAACTACAGATCCTGTCCTGACTCCTAGGCAGATGGAAATCTAAATATTTTACCACTGATACCAGCAGTATTACAACAGTTAGGGGCCCAGAAATATGTGTATTGTTTTAGGCTCAGCTACATTATCTTCTACAGACAGGCCTAGCCATGAAGACTCCATAAATAGACATGTGAAACAACCAGAAGCCTTTTGAGGATTCACTGTGGAAACAGACAGTTAGTGGATTAAGGACACCACGGTGGTCTTAACCTGCCTGGTCTCTAGAGGTTTTCATCAATGAAAGAGGCCAAACCTGATTGTCCCATACATTCAGCACATTGTCCCATACCCCAGAACCTCTAACTAGCGACCTCCAGTAATACAAAACTGATACAAAATAATTGTTCTTGTTCCTACTATTTTACTATTATTCCTACTTTGAAAATAGTGAAGTGGCTGAGCTTGTCACTTGGATTCAAGAAATAGAAACGACCTGGAGCTTACTAATCACCCATACATACTACACAGAAGAGTTTGATTTAGCATTGAAGCCCTCTGTTCTGTTGTTGTGGAGGGGTGGATGACAGGGCAGGGCAGCTAGCCAGGATGGTATCCTTTTGCCAGACGTGAACTATGTCCCTGACAGCAGTGACTCTCTGCATACTGCCCAGCCAACAGCCACGGTGCCAGGGCCAACAAGCAGCCATTGTGATTAAGTCAGTGGTTTATAAATACAACATGTCCATTGAGACACGAGCCGCCCTTAGGTTAGGTTAGCTAATACTCCCTCTCTTCCCCTATCTCCCTGCCCTGACATCCAGTCAGTATTTTGAGGTGGGTGTGGGTGGGTCTGGGTCTGGTGTGAGGCTGAGTCTCTCCAGAGGATCTGAAGGCAGCAGAGGCCACGGCGGTCTGGGACTGTCTGGGTGTAAATGGCGCACACAGAGAGAGAGGCCTAGTATCAGTAGTCAGTACAAAATGGAGGCCTAGACTGACTGACTGGATGACTAAATAAGGGCAGGCACACACTGTTGCTGAATCACAATCACAGGCGAATGCAGGCAACAGCTGATTGCTGTTGCTATCGCGTCTTCCAGCAACTTTCCTGCCCAGTCTAAATAGTCTACACTCTGTCTAGTAACGTCACATCATAGTTTACTCTAGAAGTAGCACTGCTGTAAAACAACTCATCAATGAATCGTGATGGAACTAACCAAGGCTTGCTTACTTGAACGATTACTAAAACAACCAAGGCTTTCTTTATAAGATCCAAAAATGGAATATGTTTATGGTGTTAGTATCCTCAACTAAACCTGAAGACAACTTTGTGTATCTGTTGGAACAGTTTGTTAACCAATCCCCATGCCATGACAAGGCTCTAAAACAAGTTTTAGCACTTTCTCACTGGTAGCTAGCGGACAAAAAACCAGACCTGGGTTCAAATAGTATTTGAAATAATTGCAAATACTGTATCTGGGTTTGATTGAGCTTACCTGGCGCAATGAAAAAAATGGGAAATCACAAAACTACAAAACCTTGCCTATCTGGCATTTCAGGCAGGCTAAAGCAAACAATTAAGTTATTTAAATGATTTCAAATAGTATTTAAACCTAGGTCTGCAAGCAACACATAATTGACACCACAGCAGTCAGTCAGCCTTCCTTGCGTCAGCAGGGGTGTCAAATGGATTCATGGATATAAATATGCCCGAGCTCATAACTAAGTGGGGATTAGAGGTTGGTGTATACATGTACCACACCTAGCATTAGTCGGGTGTCTAGACTTACATACAGTAGTGCTGATATGTACATTTTGTTTCAATGCAGCCAATCATATGATTCGTAAATATGAGTGTTCCGGATAACACTGTCTATTCTTACTTTTGTACTGTATGTACACTCGCAATACCTATTTATTGTCAAAGTGGTATTGACTCCCGTGTGTAGTTCGAAAGAATGACAATACGACTAAGAAAACTGTAGTGAGACAAACTTGTACCTGACTACACACATACTGATTTTGTCAGTCTTCCAATTTACATTGTTTCAAATCAGAAGAGGTAATGAAAGTCTAATGTTGGTGTTGGTGTCCTTTCACTCAGAAGATCAAGCAAATAATTGATGTCCTGACTGCTCTGTCAAGTAGCACATTTATACTGCTAGTATTATGAAACCCTCCCCCTGCTATAAGTTCAGGACCCCACTCATCTGCAGAACACCAGTGACAGGCCACGATGACAGAGGATCTCCTGTGACTGTGAAACATGAAGAAAAGCAGACTGACCTAAAGTGAATATCCAGTGACAGTGAAGCCTAATTAAGTATTTTTAAGCAGAAAATTACATTAGCCATTCTTTTTTAAATGAATGTCAAGCTAGCTTTATGTTCATGTTTCAATATCGGTTGGGGTTGAAGACAAGTTTGTGATGACTGACTGAGTGTCTTGCATTCGCTGGCTTCTTGCCCTTAGAATATGGGGGGTATCCATTGGGGAAGTCTAAAAGCACATATGGTATTTAGGTCGCAGCTTCATATCAGACTTTGTTGAACAAGTCTATAGATTACTGCATTGTTGTATTTGGAGCTTGCAAGAAAGACATTTCACTGTACATGTTTTATGTGACATTAAAACTTGAAACTTGAAACCAATCAGTAGAGGGCCACCAACTAAACTGTAGTAAAACTACCTTGGTTCTGGAGTACTGAGCATTGATATTAGCCTGGCCACAGATATGTTTGTGCTGGTCTCAGATCTGTTTGTGCTGTATTACCTGATGGTAAAACTGATTGTTGCCTTGTCCTAGATCTGTTTGTTCTGTATAGCCAACTGTCCTGTATAGCCAACTCCTTTGGCACAACAGTGACCACAGGAGTTGGCATAGGAGTTGGCTATACAGCATAGTTGGCTATACAGAACAAACAGATCTAGGACCAGGCAACAATCAGTTTTACCACCAGGTAATACAGCACAAACAGATCTGAGACCAGGCTACACTGATGGTTTACTTAGCAAGCCATCTGAGAGGACTCTGAGGACTGTGAGGAGTACTGCAGGTAGTCAGAAAGCACCATCTGTTGTGACACTCCTCCCACGGAATGGCACTGCCTGGCAACCCAACAGAACGGCCTGCCATTTTAGGAACCTCTAAACACTACACACCAGATCATGTTGTTATGTGTTACCAGTAGCCTGTCATATCTGTGAAATGTAAAAATGTTAGGCTGTATGTTTGTCTCACTACTTACACAATGTGAAATGGATGTTTCTAGTCAGTCTAGATAGAGTCTAGACCAAACCTTATGAGCCTCAGCCTAGACCACACTTTTATCAGAATGACTAGTAGTCTATTGTGAAGTTTTGAAAGTAAGTTTTATACAACTTCTTACCCCAGTTAGTAGTTCATAGCCTTGTAAATTGCAGATGGGCTTGTCAGCTGTTCAATAGCACAGACTCTCCAGCCCTCCATAGCACAGACTCCACAGCCCTCAATAGCACAGACTCCCCAGCTCTCAATAGCACAGACTCCCCAGCCCTCAATAGCACAGACTCCCCAGCCCTCAATAGCACAGACTCCCCAGCCCTCAATAGCACAGACTCCCCAGCCCTCAATAGCACAGACTCCCCAGCCCTCAATAGCACAGACTCTCCAGCCCTATGTCTGCTCTTTTATCAAGATAACCAGCCTGTCTGAGACTGGTCTGAGACTACTGTATAAGAAGCAGTGAAGAAGCCCCTAAAAGAGGGATTGTTGACTTAAGAGCAGACAGGTGTTGATATTCTATATCAAGACAGGGAGTCCCAGCCACCTCAGCCTAATTGTTCCATTGGGGAAGTGCTGCCTACCCCTCAAAGTCTTTAAGTGGATGGATCTTTATTTGAGCCCAGTAGTGTAACATTACAGTATGTCAAGTATTCACGTAGTAAACACAATCAGTAAGTCTCAGCCCCAGCTGAGCCTGAGCTTTGGGTAGATATCAGTAGCATTGAACCCTGAAAACCATCACTCCTTCACTAGGTTTTATAATAACCCTGGGAGGTAACCAGAGAAAAATAGAAGAGAAAATGTTGGGCAAGAGGAGGAGTCTGTAGAGTATGTTTAGATACAGTATACATATTTAAGTGCTGTCAAGCTCCAACTTTTGATATACATTTATTTAATGCAATATTATGTAGCCTTAATGTCACAGACACATTGTGCAGACACGATATACTGTATGTTCTAAAAGTTTCACAAACTTCTGTACATGCATTTTATCAAAAAAGTATGACGATTAGTAGTATACAGTAAATAGGTAAACTTTTTTTAAATCAAGGGTAACTGTATACTAAATCTGCATTTATTACATTTGCCTCCTCTACAGTGTGTATAAATACACAGACTCATCCTAAATAAATCTGTGAATATAACATACACAGTACAGGGGAACATCCTGCAAACCCCCTGGCACTAACTCATTGTCTGGGTCGAGGTGTTAAAATAGTCATTTATTTCTGTTCCAGCCAATGGGAGAATAGGACACCCTCTGCAGCTAATAATAATAATGAACCACATGACCAACTCAACCCCACACATCAGCCCTATAGGTTTTTAAATGAATGAATATTGTAAACAAGATCTCTGTAATATTTCTGTCCATTTGAGTCTGGTTTTGGATTAGTACATTAGCGTTGGTTTTTACAGCACAACCCTTTAGTTGGTTTGTGCTTTTGGTTTGTACCAGTATTCATCTCTTGGACTATAGGGCTAACTGGGTATATGGCATGGTATGGGAATCTTAAGTGTTGGGGATGTTCTCATTGCTTTTTATAGTCCAGACAAAGTGCCAAAGTATCTTTCCAAATTAAGAGGAAGGGAATGGATTGGGTTTGCAATGGCAACAGCAGTCACCTAAAACCTAGCGAAAGTGCAGCAGGATTTCCCAATCATTTTCACAGACAAATGTTGTCATGATCAAAGATCAGAATGATCTGCTTAACAATGTTTCAACTTTTAGCTCTGATCTGTTTATTTGAATATTTGATCACGATGACATCATAAGTAGCTACAGATTTAGCATGCCATTGTAAAGATGAACAGTTGAGGCCCTTTGCTCCACTATGAGCTAAAATAAGTAAATCAAGTAAGTCATTGAAAGGTTGGGTTAGTTGATGTTGAGTAAAGAAGCTTTGTTTGTTTCCCTGCAGGACGACCCATGCTAAGGCCAAGTCAGATGCTGCTGATCAGGCCTCTCAGGCCTCTAACCAGGAGTCCAGCGTCGCCAGGTTGGTGGCCAGGGAACTATCCCCTTCCTTCTATCAGCCAGGTATGTGTACTGGACTTCTCAACTGTGGGATTGAGGGCATGATACTGACAAGAGAAAAACATATACAAGAATTGTGATTTCCAGGCTTTCTCACATTCGTTCCAATAGCCAAGTGCTGTATGAGACTTGGAAGTATAGTAATGCTTGCCTTTCAAGAACAGTATTGAAAAGCAAGTGTTACAAAGTGAATTGAATGATATTATAAGATTTTAAAAGCAAAGTAAAGTTCTGTTCAAAGCATCTAGCTTCTTGCTGTATACACTGATAGATAGATATGTCTTGCTACTGTTGCAGCTGATTCTTGCTTGGCTTGGGCAGGCTCTCCACAAGGGTAGTCAGCCTTGAATGTCTAAAAAAAGGACTGTCTTACTTGTGTAGAGCAATCATATCAGTTTCTTTACAGGTCTGTCCGGGCCCAGGCCCACACAGTCAGGCCCCAAAGCCTTGTCGAGTGTGCCTCTGCATTTCTATCCCCCCTCAGTCACTCACTACCCACCCAGGACCCCGTTGAGTGCTTAGCAGATGCAAATAGACACTGATAAAAAGTTGCCACTGACTGTCGAGTGCCTGAAATATCTGTGTCTAATGGTACAAATGGGAAAGGGCACAGTGTCACTCAACCCCACTGAAGCTGACAGGGAGAAACAGTGCTATAGGCTATAGTATTTCCCGGATTCTTCCTGCAAGAATTTTCCTTGATCTTCGTGAATTAAACATTGGGACAAGAATTGGGGGCTAATAACAGTATGTGATTGATAGTAGATTGTCTCACTCCATCTACTAGTCTTTTTGTCTTTGTTTGGCTTGTCTGTACTCTATGTCAGATAGTAAGTGGTTACGTCAGAGCCTGTTAATAGAAGGCTCTGAGTCAAGTCAGTGGTCATGTCCGAATAAACAGACTAGCGTACTACATACTCATTTCGACGCTTAATCTAGTTGTAGAAGTCACTCGTCTTTTCCGACTGACGTGTTTGACAACAGCTGATAATCAGATAAATTTACACGCTGTACTAAAATGAATGAATGGCGGGAGTCAACGCAATCGCGCATTAGATGACGCGTTCAGAGTGCTATTTTCGAAATTTCACATACTCTAAAACTTAATTTTTTCGCATACTATTTAGTACGCTAGTATGGGTATTCGGACACGAGCAGTATTTCAAATCCTACCCTGCAAAATGATGTTATAGGTTGTAAATAAAATAAATGAAAAATTAATTAGGCCTATATTACAGACTCAACTTGTTTGGTTTGTCATATTGCAATTCAGCTATTAGTTTAAAGGCCCACTCTGTGATATTTACAGCCTAAAGTAGCATGTTTTTGCATCAGACTGCAAAAATGTGACCTATGAATAATCAACCCTTTATGGGATATTTTACGGGATCCGCAGTTGCTGTGTTTTCTCAAGCCAACTGTAGTCACCCCACATTAGGTTTTATAGCAAGATGTTCCTGGGGTGACTGTCACAGGACTGCGTTACAAGCAGACAGAGTGGCTCCAAATACAAATCTAGACCTTGGCGATACTTCTCAAATCCATCCACGACTGTCTGCACTTCCTAGCTAATAACCTCCAAAATATCCTGCACTAACCATTTTTTATTAGCTACCCTGTAAAACAACACATTTCACTGTACGTGACAATAAAACATCTATAAATAAATTAGTCTGATGTTTATCTAGTCTGATCTAGTCTTATCTTGTTGTTATTGGAATCTCATCAAACATATATTTCTCCATGTTCTTCCACAGGCCCAGAGTACATGAAGAAGAGAGCGCTACAGGAGATCTCAGATGGCAATGGGAACCCAGACCCTATAATGCATGAGCCACTGTTAGCAGGGCAGCCACCGACACCCGCTGAAAGCCCAATGCTGCCCGACAGGCCTGGCTACTCTCCAGCCCGCACACCCTCCCCCAGCCCGGCTGTGACCCATCCAGCATCCAGGCACTCCAAGCAGGGCAACGTCAGCAAAGAGGACCCCCATCTCCTCGGCCCTGCTGGCTGGAACGGGGACAAAGGTGGTGGAAGTCGGGGGAGCAGCCGTCCCAATAGCAGAACCAACAGCCGGCCCAGCACTCCCGCCCCTGCCGCTGCTCCCCCTGAAGAGCGCCTCGCTACTGCCCCCATCGCTAGCAGCCGGGGGTCCTCCCGCGCCTCCAGCCGCTTGAGCAACAAGGTAGAGCAGGGCTCTGACCTGGAGATCAAGCCCCTGGAGAAGACGGCATCTGAGGCTAAAGTGTCCGAAGCTGCTCCCTCGATAAGGACCAGTGTCGTCTACTCAGAAGAAGAAAAAGAAGCCCCACCCCCTTCTCCCGCCTCCAACGTGTCTTCCAAAGCTGCCCTCACCCCCAAGCCTAAATCGGCAGAGCCCAAACAAAGAACAGAGTCGGTCAATGAACGACCTGTGTCCACCATATCTGAGAGCAAACTAGAGTCCAGTGCCCAGTCTGTCAATAAAGTGTCACCCAAGCCTTCGCCATCACTCAAGCCATTGACGAAACGGGAGGCCAGTCCAGCTTCAAAACCTGCCACACCTGCACCTACACCAGTGCCTAAAGCTGCGAAGCCAGCCCCTAAGGTTGAACACAAAGCGGAGGCCAAGCTGATGAAGATCATGGTGAAGAGCCCAAGTACAAGTGAAGTTACAGAACTAGTAGAATTTGAGCAGGCAAGGCAACTCAAACACTCATTATCTCATGTAATGAAAAGCTTTGAGAACACATTCAGTCAAATGAAGACTGTTCTTACATGTTATGTAGTACACTCTCCCATGACCTGGGTTCTAAAAGTAGATTCAAAACATACAGTAGGTCCTCTCTCCTCTAAGTGCAAATGTGTAACCTGATGTTACTCTGGAGACTATTATCTACAGTTGGTGCTGGTCCTTTAAACCACACTAATCAGACCCCATTTCTGATTAACCTCCCCTCCTCTTTTCCTCTGTTATCTAATAATAATTATCCCTCTACTTATGTTCGTACAGTGGGGAAAAAAAGTATTTAGTCAGCCACCAATTGTGCAAGTTCTCCCACTTAAAAAGATGAGAGAGGCCTGTAATTTTCATCATAGGTACACGTCAACTATGACAGACAAAATGAGAAAAAAATCCAGAAAATCACATTGTAGGATTTTTTATGAATTTATTTGCAAATTATGGTGGAAAATAAGTATTTGGTCAATAACAAAAGTTTCTCAATACTTTGTTATATACCCTTTGTTGGCAATGACACAGGTCAAACGTTTTCTGTAAGTCTTCACAAGGTTTTCACACACTGTTGCTGGTATTTTGGCCCATTCCTCCATGCAGATCTCCTCTAGAGCAGTGATGTTTTGGGGCTGTCACTGGGCAACACGGACTTTCAACTCCCTCCAAAGATTTTCTATGGGGTTGAGATCTGGAGACTGGCTAGGCCACTCCAGGACCTTGAAATGCTTCTTACGAAGCCACTCCTTCGTTGCCCGGGCGGTGTGTTTGGGATCATTGTCATGCTGAAAGACCCAGCCACGTTTCATCTTCAATGCCCTTGCTGATGGAAGGAGGTTTTCACTCAAAATCTCACGATACATGGCCCCATTCATTCTTTCCTTTACACAGATCAGTCGTCCTGGTCCCTTTGCAGAAAAACAGCCCCAAAGCATGATGTTTCCACCCCCATGCTTCACAGTAGGTATGGTGTTCTTTGGATGCAACTCAGCATTCTTTGTCCTCCAAACACTGACCATATGACATTCTCCCAATCCTCTTCTGGATCATCCAAATGCACTCTAGCAAACTTCAGACGGGCCTGGACATGTACTGGCTTAAGCAGGGGGACACGTCTGGCACTGCAGGATTTGAGTCCCTGGCGGCGTAGTGTGTTACTGATGGTAGGCTTTGTTACTTTGGTCCCAGCTCTATGCAGGTCATTCACTAGGTCCCCCCGTGTGGTTCTGGGGTTTTTGCTCACCGTTCTTGTGATCATTTTGACCCCACGGGGTGAGATCTTGCGTGGAGCCCCAGATCGAGGGAGATTATCAGTGGTCTTGTATGTCTTCCATTTCCTAATAATTGCTCCCACAGTTGATTTCTTCAAACCAAGCTGCTTACCTATTGCAGATTCAGTCTTCCCAGCCTGGTGCAGGTCTACAATTTTGTTTCTGGTGTCCTTTGACAGCTCTTTGGTCTTGGCCATAGTGGAGTTTGGAGTGTGACTGTTTGAGGTTGTGGACAGGTGTCTTTTATACTGATAACAAGTTCAAACAGGTGCCATTAATACAGGTAATGAGTGGAGGACAGAGGAGCCTCTTAAATAATAAGGTACAGGTCTGTGAGAGCCAGAAATCTTGCTTGTTTGTAGGTGACCAAATACTTATTTTCCACCATAATTTGCAAATAAATTCATTAAAAATCATACAATGTGATTTTCTGGATATTTTTTTCTCAATTTGTCTGTCATAGTTGACGTGTACCTATGATGAAAATTACAGGCCTCTCTCATCTTTTTAAGTGGGAGAACTTGCACAATTGGTGGCTGACTAAATACTTTTTTTCCCCACTGTACATATTCTCAACTGCATTTCCTTTCTGATGACCACATTCAAGGCCATTTTCCCATTTCTGGTTGGGAACTTACAAACAGATAACATGACACAATTTCTCTAGCAACCAACAACTACCATCGTTATCTCTAAATATTGCTAGAAATGTCAAATATTGTAATCCAGACGACCCATTCCGATCTATGAAAGTATGTAAATAAACTTTGCATTTCAGGTGACTGTTACATAAGTGTTTATAGAGGCAACAGTTATTTGTTCTGAATGATTATGGAGGCTGTAGATGGCGTGCAGATTAGTGGTTTGTCTGGGACATGAGACCTTAGGGGAGGTTTTCCATAGCCCAGGCCCCCTGTGTTGAAAGGGGCATACTGCATATGAGAACCTACCAGGCCGCCATAGCTGACGTAGACTTTGTATTTGTTGAAATGCAGCAGCAGCCCTGGCTTCTCTCCCAGTCACCATATTTTACAATTGTTGTTACTAGAGTCATTACAACATTGCTACACAGGCATGGATGCAACTTCAATATAAAAAGGATAATTGTGATTACATTTTTCATCCCATTCGTTTCGCTGTTGTTTCATAGATTTTAAACAGGTCTGTCTTGAGGAAGACATTTTTATCTCAATATGACAAACCTGTATAAATAAATGTTAAATAAAACATGAAATGTATCTACTGTACCTCTCTCTTCCAGAGACCGAACACCATCATGATAACCATGGTGATTCTGCTCAACATTGGCCTGGCCATTCTCTTCGTACACATCTTGTCATGAGACACTGTCGACCCAGGTAACTAACACAGCTCGCTGACTGTCCTGCCAGTTACAGATATACACTGAATGGTACCTGTTGCTTTTGTTCCAAGCAGTCAAAACACAATGGCACTGAACCTCTGACCCTTGCAACCTGTAAGGAAATGTCTGTTTGATCTGGTCACATGACTAAGTATAGTTTGATTTCAACAACAGTTACTGTTTACATTGTTTTGACTCAGAGGTACTTCAAGGTGATGATGATGATGATGATGATGATGATGATGAGAAATTAACTTGTCTTCATATTTGTTTTGTCTGCTTGACCTTTTTCCCACAGGTCACCACCTTGCAGTGGTGTTGAGGTAAGATGACCCACATTTGTAAGCAAGGACCATACAGAACAAAGAGACTGCCAAGAAACACACGCCTTATGTGAAGGAAGCTGACGACAGCTCCTCCACACACAGCCTCTTGTTGATGTGACTGTGTTGAGGCTCTTTAAGGCTAATCTGCTTTTCAGAGGCTTGGAATCAGAGGATGCTGGTGGGAGGAGTTATAGGAGGACGGGCTCATTAATGGCTGGAATGGAATTAATGGAGCGGTATCAAACACATCAACCATATGGAAACCACATTTTTTATTCTGTTCCATTTATTCCATTTAAGCCATTACAATGAGCCTGTCCTCCTATAACTCCCCCCACCAGCCTCCTCTGCGTGGACTATCTGGAGCCGGATTAAAGAACACCATATGAATCCTTACGGATCAGGATTGAAGGATATCAATGCATATGAATCCATATGAATGCTTACAGATCAGGATTGAAGGACATTAATGAATCTGAATGTCAGGATGAGGGTCTGAATGGACACTGTGCTTGAAAAGAAGGGAACCATTGGTGAGTTTCGGTGTCTACCCTGGAGATGGTGTTGAATGTTATTCACTGGTGAAGTCTTTGCTAAAAGTTATTTCACTGTATCTGAGTCACAACTAAAGCACTGTGTGTTATGTTTTAACAAAGGGCTAAACCCTTCATATTGGCAAACACTGTTGCCTCAGATCACCGACAGATTAGAGTGGTTGTGGTGTGGACAGGTTAGAGTGTCAGGAAATGATTAGTTAGCTTTGTAATTAGATATATATTTAACTGATGTCTTGTCTATAGGAATGTAATCTCTGGGAAAATCTCAAATAAATGGAATATTCTCTCATTTTTGCCTATTTTTGCCAATAATAATGAGTGGTTTGGGGGTAATAATCAGTGTTCCTATTTATTGACAGATATCTATATTATGCTCCTATTAGTTTATCTGCTTTCTTCCTTTTTTGCCATATTCTCAACTTTCTTCAGTAGACATCAGTAAAGACATCTTACAGTCTCTTTGACGGCACAGAGCTCTAAGACATGAATTGCAGATTCTTTATTCGGCAACGCCTGAGAATCAATGATTTTCTTATCTGCAATGGCAATGCAACCCACTACAGGAATGCAGTGCAATGTACAGTTATGTTTGCACATTAAATATTCTCTCTCCAAGGCAAATTGAGTGAGTCACACTGGAATGGTATTTAAAACAATATCTGTAACAGGAGTGGTACAGTAGTACTGACATGCACTGTACATTGTATGATTTCGTAAGAGGCTTTCAAATGACACAGAATAGAGGAGGAATTCTAGGACTTTAACCAGTGTATGTGGTATTGAATTTCTGGGGTAATGTGTATCTATGTTGTTTTCTGGTTGTCTGATCAAAAGAAAAGTAAAGCACCCTATTGTATGGTTTGATTTCAATAAAAACATGACATGAAAATCACAATATCAAATATGGGTGGGTGTGTTGGTAGGTGGGTCAATTCTGTCTAAAACCATTAGGGAACATTTTGTGCAGATTTCGAGAGGTTATTTATTTGAACAAATGAGCTTGCATTGTTAGGATGTAATTGTGAGCAGTTGTTTGGGAATTTTGTTGGTCTGTATGCTTCAGAATAGGTCACACTATTTAAAATGCATTGCCTCAAAATCAATCAAGCTGATTTTCCTCCCAACTTTTCTATGTGGGCACTGTTTGTGTGTGTTTTTGTACCTTTTTGAAGTACACATCTTTTCATCTACAAAAGTATTCTGCTGTTGCATTTTTGTGAGCGTAATATCCAATCCCACATGTATTTTTTGTTTTCCCTGTAGAGTCAATGAGATTATACCTCACGTTTGGGAGACAGAGGAAAATGTAGTGGAACTCCAGGTCTTACTTTACTAGAGAGCACTCTGAGATTGTGCACTGTATAAATCCATATTTATAACTTTATTTTCCCTATGTCCCAAACAGTTTTGTTCCCCTCAAAGACGATTGATAAATAAGTGGGAAGAGATATTTAAGATAAGGTACTTGTACATTATGTAAAAGAGGCCTCAGATCTATTTCTTTACTACTCCAACTCCCCCCTATGGACAATGCACTTGTATTGTTTTTCTCATGCTCATAGCGACATGAGACTCTGTACCAGACTCCTTACTCTCAACATAATTTCATAAAACATTGAAACTTTCTGTAACTTATTTTCATTGCAATAAAACACTCAAGAGACCCTCAATCAGAAGTGACTTTGGTTTAATCCAGGAGCGGATTATTTAAACCATAATCCTGGATGGATCTCATTGTATTCATAAATATTGCTGGTCCTTTTCTAAATTGCGAAAGAAAATAAAAAACATCTTCCAATGTTGTGCTATATGTCATTTTCTTCACGGGGCAGATACTTGCAAAAAGAAACACATGCAAACCAGGCTGTAAGGAGTACAAAGGCCTTGTAAGTGAGTAAACCAGGCTTCTTGGGCACATGCAAATAACTGCCCCATGCACATTGATAATAATCTATATACTATTGTTTGCATTCTTTCTGGTCTCATGGCATCAAACCAACGTGAAACCCCTTGCTCGTATATCAATTTTCCATAGATATAGCACATGGTTGCTTATATTTTTGTCATACCATTGCAACCATGGTTTACGTTTAATTAGCTTGAGAATTGTAAAGGAGCCTATATCATGTTTTGAGTCTAAACGCAGTGGGAACAAAGACAGTATTTTTAAACCCCACCTGTCCTCTCTGCCAGCTTGACAGATCCCCCCCCCCCATGACTGGGCAGGGTCTGAATACCAGGACCTATTTTAGATCAGGGCTGTGAACTGGGATTGGGTTCTTCTCAGGTCTAGCTGGCTTTCACATTAGTAAATTGGAGTACATTTCACATTTCCAATTCACAATGAATGTAGATTCCATAGAATGTAATATTGTAGCATGTATTATTTGTTTGCATTCTGAAGAAATGCAGTGTATTTGGTCTAGCTTTACCCTGTATGTAGTTCCGGCTGTGATTTGTTCACATTCATTTTTTGAAGGGACTTTTCTAAGTGTGTTGTTTTAATATTACCTTTGTGATATGTTGTAGTGTTCAGTTATGTATTGAATTTGATCGACCAACTACAGTAAGCTTCTGCATATTCACGTTCACGGAAGGACATGAACAAGTATTTGTTGCACAACACTGCCCTCTAGACATTAAATTTTTTAGGTATCAGAGCAGAGGCTCACGTTACTTACAGTCTTGAAAACCAACACACACAAGCACCACAGCTGCTCTTTCAAAGAAAAGCTCTCGACAAAGTTAAATATTGAAATTATTTAAACTTCAAGTAGTTGTTGCATTTTAAAATGCAATTATTTGTTTATAGATTCGTATAAATCTGTAATAAAAGTAATAACACATACATTGAAATTATGTGATTGTTATGGTTAACTTCAGTGTTCCTAGAACCAAATGAATCTGTCTAATCCACCAGTATGAGTTCATGTACAGGTCTAAGCAACTAATGGTACGAAGACCTCTAAATGGGAAACTGAAAATTACGACAAGTAAACATTATGTTTTCCATATAATGTCGATTTATTATCAACATGAAAGTGCTTTTTGTTTGAGATTAGGAGTTTTGAAAGAGTATACTGGATGAAAATAAAATAAAAGGGTGGATCTATGACAAAGAGTTTTTAAGACAGACAAAGAAAGACAGCCATTTCTAGTACTGTTCTCCGTCCTCATCTCCTTCACCGCTGTCACGTCCCACCTCTTTATAATCTTTTTCCAGAGCTGCAATGTCCTCTCTGGCCTCAGCAAACTCTCCTTCCTCCATCCCCTCACCCACATACCAGTGCACAAAGGCACGTTTGGCGTACATCAGGTCAAACTTGTGGTCAAGCCGAGCCCAGGCCTCTGCCACAGGAGTGTTGTTGCTCAGCATGCACACAGCTCTCTGGACTTTGGCCAGGTCTCCACCAGGGACTACAGTGGGGGGCTGGTAGTTGATGCCAATCTTGAAACCAGTTGGACACCAGTCAACAAACTGAATAGAACGTTTGGTCTATCTGCAATAGCAGCATTGACAGCTTTGGGCACCAGATCACCACGGTACAGAAGGCAGCATGACATATGCTTGCCGTGGCGAGGGTCACATTTCATAATCTGGTTGGCTGGCTCAAAGCAGGCATTGGTGATTTCAGAGACAGTTAACTGCTCATGGTATGCCTTCTCTGCAGAGATGACTGGGGCATATGTAGCCAGAGGGAAATGAATTTGTGGATAGGGCAACAAGTTGTTCTGGAACTCTGTCAGATCAACATTGAGGGCACCATCGAATCGAAGGGAATCAGTGATGGAGGAAACAATCTGGCTAATGAGCCTGTTGAGGTTAGTGTAGGTAGGACGCTCAATATCGAGGTTCCTACGGCAGATGTCATATATAGCCTCATTATCCACCATGAAGGCACAGTCAGAGTGCTCTAGGGTGGTGTGGGTGGTCAGGATGGAGTTGTAAGGTTCCACCACAGCTGTGGACACCTGGGGAGCTGGGTAGATGGAGAACTCCAGCTTGGACTTCTTGCCGTAGTCAACAGACAGGCGCTCCATCAGCAGAGAGGTGAAACCAGAGCCGGTGCCACCTCCAAAGCTGTGGAAAACCAGGAAGCCCTGAAGGCCTGTGCACTGGTCAGCCTGAAGAGAAAGAGAAAAAAACGTCAATAAAAGGAGGACATTCTGATCAGATAGTCGATAAAATAGTTAATTCATTCTGAGATAGCCACCAGTTTGCGGATCCTGTCCAGCACCAGGTCAATGATCTCTTTGCCAATAGTGTAATGCCCACGGGCGTAGTTGTTGGCAGCATCCTCTTTGCCAGTGATGAGCTGTTCAGGATGGAATAACTGGCGGTAGGTCCCAGTGCGCACCTCATCTGAGGAGAGAAATCAGTAGCTCATGGAGGACCTCAATACCATGAAAGCAAAACATGATATCTAACAAATACCTTTGACTCAATGTAATAAACAGAAAGCTTACCTATGACTGTGGCTCCAGGTCTACAAACACAGCCCTGGGAACATGCTTTCCAGCCCCAGTCTCACTGAAGAAGGTGTTAAAAGAGTCATCTCCTCCTCCAATGTTCTTGTCACTGGGCATCTGTCCGTCTGGCTGGATCCCATGTTCCAGGCAGTAGAGCTCCCAGCAGGCATTGCCAATCTGGACTCCAGCCTGACCCACGTGGATGGAGATGCACTCGAACTGCGGAAAGAGAGTTGTTTACAACTTTCTCAGAGCAATAAATACTTTTAATTAGAAAATCGATCAAGTATTAACTATAAATACACATAGGCCAAGTCATAGTCCAAAGGAAATTATCACTGTCAAGTTCTACTTTACAATCTTCTGAAATAAAAAAGTTCTTAGAATATCTATGGGCATAATAGACAATTGGACCAAAACATTCATCTAAAACTGGAATAGTAACAACAATATTTCATTTGTTTAAAATTGGCAATTTCCTAGAGTTTGTTCTGTTTCATTCTTAGCAACTCTGTAGGCGAGGAGAGGTCGGGGCTTGGGGCATGACAGAAAATGCTTTCATTGTAGAAGATAGGCTATCGGTTTAAACCAGAACACATGGGGACACATCACCTGACTGAAGAAACAAGTGATCACCTGTTAAACAGACAAACAGGCAGTGTTTTTAAAACTAAATGTAACACATAACCTACCATGGGTGACTAATTTGACAAAACAATTACCATCTGATCAACACATTCCAAAGAATGAATGCATTTGACTTCAAACGGATTTAGTAGACCTGCTAACCACATATGAAACGTTAAATCAAGGTATTTTTACTATGGCACTCAATTTTTTACATGTAATAGCATATCAGCAAAGCAGTTTAAACTTTGATATCATCAGACATTCTGAAATATCTCATGTCATATTTGAGTTCTAAATGAATAACAAGATTACAGGTTACTCATTACTTTCAGCCTACTTCATAAACGAGGCAATTTATTTGAATACATTTTGAGTGCGAATAACTGAGTTTACATTTGCCTCTACGAAAAAAGAAAAAAAAAATGTACGCACTCACTAACTGTAAGTCGCTCTGGATAAGAGCGTCTGCTAAATGACTAAAATGTCAAATGTACAGTGCGTCATCATCCCTGGGTCGCTTCTAATGCAGACATCAAAGCAGGAGAGATGTCACTAAGAAGAGACATCAGTTCAACATCAAGTTTTGTTAAGAGTAGTTGGCTGAAGTTAACAAAATTATTGAGATTGATTTGCATTTTGGTTTGGGTTACAAAATGACATCTGTGTAAGATTATGACAAAAATTAATGTTTTAGTCAAATTGATTAATTATGTTGAAAAAATAAAATAGAAACTACTTTGATTTAACTATTGTAAGAAGATACTAAATTATTGAAACGAACAATAATATGATTTGTGTGTACTCACCATGTTTAAGTTGAGAAATTTCAAGATGTGGTGCGGAGAAATTGAATTTTCTTTTAGTTTAACTCTCACATGCTTATCTTTGGGAGACTGTAGTAAGAAGTCTGATAGAACATTTGAAAGATGGCGCAATTTATACTTCTACGATACAGTGGACAGGCTTTGCCGAAACTGATTGGAAGATCTTACCATATGCCTTGTCCCAATTGGCTATCAGAGTAGAATATGTCAAAGTATCTCTCCCATATGCGTGTGGTTTAAGTAAGCATCTTCAGAGCTTACTTGTGGAAGTTGAAGTAACACTGTATAACTGCAGTTATATTTCCAAAACTGCAGTACTACAATTACAGTTAGTATGTCTCCAAAGTATAAAAATGTCACTACATTGTAACTGCAGTATTTTTTAAGAATTAATCTAGGTCTACCATATACAGATTCCTCTACTTCTGTTGAATATGTTGGAGTTTTAAAAACATTGATAAGTAATTGATGAAAAGGTATACAACAAAAAATACACACACTTTTATTGGTGAATCTTTAATGAAACACAAAGAAAAACTGTGATTATCACTATAACAAACCAGTTGTGTTTAAACCTAAGCAAGCAGCAAGAAAATATCAAACTGTAAGAAGAAATGCATTGCTTTTGAAATTGTGCTATTATAAGATATGGGAGCCAAGGGCATCCTTGCATGAACACTCAATACTCCTCTCCCTCCTCCTGTCCGTCACCCTCGACGGTGTCAACCCCCACCTCTTCGTAATCCTTCTCCAGGGCTGCCATGTCCTCTCTGGCTTCAGAGAACTCTCCCTCCTCCATCCCCTCACCCACATACCAGTGCACAAAGGCACGTTTAGCATACATCAAATCAAACTTGTGATCAAGCCGAGCCCAGGCCTCTGCAATAGCAGTGGTGTTGCTCAGCATGCACACAGCCCTCTGGACTTTGGCCAGATCTCCACCAGGGACTACAGTGGGGGGCTGGTAGTTGATCCCAACCTTGAAACCAGTTGGGCACCAGTCAACAAACTGAATAGAACGTTTGGTCTTGATGGTGGCAATGGCAGCATTGACATCTTTGGGCACCACATCACCACGGTACAGAAGGCAACATGCCATGTACTTACCGTGGCGAGGGTCGCATTTCACCATCTGATTGGCCGGCTCAAAGCAGGCATTGGTGATTTCAGCCACAGAGAGCTGCTCATGGTAAGCCTTCTCTGCAGAGATAACTGGGGCATAGGTGGCCAGAGGAAAATGAATTCGGGGATAGGGTACCAAGTTGGTCTGGAACTCTGTCAGATCAACATTGAGAGCACCATCGAATCGAAGGGAAGCAGTAATGGAGGAAACGATCTGGCTAATGAGCCTGTTGAGGTTAGTGTAGGTAGGACGCTCAATGTCGAGGTTCCTACGGCAGATGTCATATATAGCCTCATTATCCACCATGAAGGCACAGTCAGAGTGCTCTAGGGTGGTGTGGGTGGTTAGGATGGAGTTGTAAGGTTCCACCACAGCTGTGGACACCTGGGGAGCTGGGTAGATGGAGAACTCCAGCTTGGACTTCTTGCCGTAGTCAACAGACAGGCGCTCCATCAGCAGAGAGGTGAAACCAGAGCCGGTGCCACCTCCAAAGCTGTGGAAAACCAGGAAGCCCTGAAGGCCTGTGCACTGATCAGACTGAGGAGAAGGAGGAACATGTCAATAAAAGGAGCACACAAGATGTCCACATTCTGATCATTTAGTTGATAAAAGATTTTAGCGATTAATTCTGTGGTACCCACCAGTTTGCGGACCCTATCCAGCACCAGGTCAATGATCTCTTTGCCAATAGTGTAATGCCCACGGGCGTAGTTGTTGGCAGCATCCTCTTTGCCAGTGATGAGCTGTTCAGGATGGAATAACTGGCGGTAGGTCCCAGTGCGCACTTCATCTGAGAAGAAAAACTTAGCAGCTTATGAAAAACAGACCAGGAAGTTCTAAAAGGGTTCTTCTACAGAGACTAGGGTTCTGCATGGAACCTTTTTCATCTGAGAACCTTCACCATGGAAGAAAGGGTTCTAAAAGGTTTATTTTTGTTGGAAAGGGTTCTGGAACCAGGGTTTTTCAACAACCTTCAAATTCAAATTTGGACCTCGAAGTCAGTTCTACTGTTTTTTTTCTCTATATCAGGTCTATATCAGGGACTGATATAGACCTGGGACAACAAATAGGTGCAATTAATTATCAGGTAACAGAAAACCAGCAGTATTCCGGACATCGTATAAGATTTCAATACTCCTGTTCTACAGGGACAAGCCGAAGAACCCTTTATGGTCCTAAGTATAACCTTTTTTTCTTAAGAGGGAAAGCTTACCTATAACTGTGGGCTCCAGGTCCACAAACACAGCCCTGGGAACATGCTTTCCAGCCCCCGTCTCACTGAAGAAGGTGTTGAAGGAGTCGTCTCCTCCTCCTCCGATCGCTTTGTCTGATGGCATCTGTCCATTCGGCTGGATCCCATGCTCCAGACAGTAGAGCTCCCAACAGGCATTGCCAATCTGGACACCAGCCTGACCCACGTGGATAGAGATGCACTCGCGCTAGGGTGAAGAGGGAGAATTTTTTTATCTGAAAGGAGGTCCACAATAACCCAAAATAGTCTAAACTCTAGACCAGGGGTGGGCAAACCTTTTGGCTCAAGGGCCACATACTAGTGTACTGTAAGTGTACATATGCTTGCAGAACAATTCTACCCTTGTACCATCTCTACCCTTGTTTTTTGTGAACAAGGTTTTCAAACAAATTTGCAAAATTGATATAATTTATAACATCACAGACAGTCACACAGATCCTGCCTCTCTACCCTTGTAAAGTACAATCAAACTTCAAAATAGATGTATATTATATGACTGGAGACATGCAAATTCTAAAATTTGAGTGAAACATGGCAAGAGCATCCGTTTAATTTGGAATGGTCTGTTTTTGAAAGTATATTAAGGAACATTTCTCATCTCCGTTGTGAGCCATATTTACAGTTATCACCTCAGCCCAAATCTGACTGATTAGTTATTACCTGTATCCAAGTGCATTGCTGGATAATTCTCACTGCATAACCATCACCATGAAAAAGCATAATCCTTGCCTATCCCAGTCACTGTTTCTTTCAGTGAGCCATAGAACTGGTCTATTGTTGCTGTTTTGTACTTCTCCTTCAAAGCACTGTCACATTGGATGTCGCTGAGCTCCAATTGTGTGTCTGGTGGTGCTTTCTCACTGTCGAAAGACAGGGGACATGATACAAGCTCCAGCTCAGTCTCAATCTTAGTGAAGTCAGAAGCGGCAGGAAAAGTCAGCATGCAGGTCGATCAAAGTGCTACTTTATGTCTCAGTGTCGCACTGCAATGTGGGCGCGTTCAGCGCGGCCAGTGTCGGAAAATGAGCGAGAGACCGACTGCTCATTTGTTTGGCCTTGAATGCTTTCACGTTGGAATACAGTTTATGCACAAAAACACAATTTCCCTGCAGTTTCACATTTAGATCGTTCAGATGCCCCAATATGTCCACATCAAAAGCAAAGTCGCCCAGCCAGTCTGTGTCTTTCAACTCGGAGAAGTCGTCAGCTTTACCAACCCTGTCAAGGAACATACCCATCTCCCCTCTCAGTTCCCACACACAGCGAAATACTTTCCCCAGGCTTAGCCAGCGCACATTTGAATGGTACAACAAGTCCTGGTGCTCTGCCTCTGTGTCATTGAGTAGCTGAATGAACTGACGATGGTTAAGCCCCCTTGCCCGTATAAAGTTGACACGTTTTACAACCACTTTGACAACATTTTCCAGCTTTAACACACATTTACACAGGGCTTCCTGATGAATAATACAGTGAAGAAATATAAATTCCTCCGAGTTAGGGCTTTCTTCTTTTACTTTGTCTTGTAATCTTTTTAGTAGGCCAATGTTTTTACCGGTTAGATTTGGTGATCCATCTGTTGTGACGTTTGTCAGTTTGCTCCATGGTAGATTAATTTTATCCAGGCAGGCAGACACCCTGTCGTATAAATCAGAGCCCCTGGTTGTTCCCATCATTGATTCCATCGCAAGAAGTTCCTCTGTTATTTCAAAGTTCTCATTTATTCCTCTGACAAAAATTAAAAGTTGAGCGGTGTCTCTGATGTCAGTACTCTCATCCAGTGCTATAGAAAAAAGATCGAAGGCATCTGCTTTTTTCTTCAACTCGGAGATTAGCTCCTCACCCATCACATTTACATTTACATTTTAGTCATTTAGCAGACGCTCTTATCCAGAGCGACTTACAGTTAGTGAATACATTTTTTTATTTTTTTTATTTTTTATACTGGCCCCCCGTGGGAATCGTCACCGCCTTATGTCCAATATTAGTAAAAAAAAGTATTTTGCTGTTCATTCTTTTTTAAACACACGACATTCAGAATCCACTTTTCTCATTTTCGCAGAAATATAATAATATTTAATACATTCAAAATATTTCTTGCGGGCCGGATTGAAGGGCCGTACTTTGCCTCCCCTTGGTCTAGAGCCGTATCCGGCCCGCCGGGCACTTCAATCCGTACCACAATACTTTTTAAAAAATGTATTAAATATTATTATATTTGAGTTACGATTTTTGGTCTAAAATTACTCATTCCATGATATACAAACAACCTCCAATAAGGCAAGTATTGGAAACAATAGAACACTATGGAAAATATGGGAAACCAGGCCTGCTATTCATAGCAGACTTCGAAAAGGCATTTGATAAAGTTCGACTGGAATTTATATATAAATGCTTGCAGCATTTCAATTTTGGAGAATCTCTTATAAAATGGGTCAAAATCATGTATAGTAACCCTAGGTGTAAAATAGTAAATAATGGCTATTTCTCAGAAAGTTTTAAACTGTCAAGAGGAGTGAAACAAGGTTGTCCACTATCGGCATATCTATTTATTGTGGCCATCGAGATGTTAGCTATTAAAATCAGATCCAATAATAATATCAGAGGATTAGAAATACAGGGCTTAAAAACAAAGGTGTCATTGTACGCAGATGATTCATGTTTTCTTTTAGATCCACAACTAGAATCCCTCCACAGCCTCATAGAGGATCTAGATACATTTTCTAACCTCTCTGGATTAAAACCAAATTATGACAAATGTACTATATTACGTATTGGATCACTAAAAAATAAAAATTTTACATTACCATGTAGTTTACCAATAAAATGGTCTGATGGTGATGTGGATATACTCGGAATACATATCCCAAAGGAAATAAATGATCTCACTTCAATAAATTTTAATAGAAAGTTAGCAAAAATAGATAAGATCTTACTACCATGGAAAGGAAGATACCTGTCAATTTGTGGAAAAATCACCCTGATTAACTCTTTAGTATTATCCCAGTTTACCTATTTGCTTATGGTCTTGCCTACACCTAGCAAACAGTTTTTTTAATTATATGAGAAAAAAATATTCAATTTTATTTGGAACGGCAAGCCAGACAAAATTAAAAGAGCATATTTATATAATGAATATGAATTAGGAGGACAGAAATTATTAAATATTAAAGCATTAGACCTATCACTAAAATCTTCAGTCATCCAAAAGTTATACTTAAATCCGAACTGTCACTGTTCAAGAAAGGCCTTTTTCCCTTTATTCAGATTACAACCTCTCACTTTCAGTTATTTGAAAAGGAAATAATCTCCCAAATGTCACTATTTCTAAAACAAGCCATAGAAAGTTGGTTGCAATTTCAATTTAATCCTCCAGAAACGACAGAACAAATAATGCAACAAATATTGTGGTTAAATTCAAATATACTAATTGACAAAAAACCTTTATTTTTTGACAGAATGTTTAAAAAAGGTATAATCTTCGTAAATGATATCATCGGTAGGACTGGTGGAGTTATGTCGCACATGCAGCTAACAAAAACATATGGAAATGTCTGCTCTACCCAAAATTACAACCAAATAATTGCAGCCTTACCGCAAAAGTGGAAGAGGAAAGTTGAAGGGGGAGAAAGTAAGGAACTTGTCTGTCGGCCTTGCATTAAAGAACATAATTGGTTAAGGAAAACTGTGATAAATAAAAAAGTATATCAGTTTCACTTAAGGACCAAAGGATTGACAGCCGTCCCATATAGATTGCAAAATAGTTGGGAAGAGATCTTTGACGTACCGATCCCATGGCATAGTGTTTATGAACTGACACGCAAAACGACACCGGATTAAAAAATTAGAATCTTTCAATTTAAATTATTATATAAAATTCTTGCTACCAATAGAATGTTATTTATATGGGGGATACAATCTTCCCAGCTCTGCAGATTTTGCTGTGAAGAGATAGAATCATTAGATCATTTGTTTTGGTTCTGTCCATTTGTAGCTTGTTTTTGGACACAGGTCCAGGAATGGCTAAAGGATTGCAATATTTACCTGGAACTAACCTTGCAGATAGCATTACTGGGTGATCTGAAAAGTCATAGTCAATCAATCAATAATATAATAATACTTTTAGCAAAAATGTTTATTTTTAATTCACAATCTGTAGAAGCAATGAGAATAGAAAGGTTCAGAACTTTTGTAAAACATCACAGTACGGTTGAAATATATATGGCAAATAGAAATCCTATATGGATGGTGTTAAGAGATAGATGGGAGGTATTGAATAGAGTTGAAGGATGGGACTAATAACAAATAACAACAAATAATAACAAAGATAGCTAATAATGTAAGCATACTGTGTCCATAATAAGTATATAGGTTGTATGTTGGGAGCTTTTGGGAAAGAGCACAGTTAGAAAGATATGGCATTTAGAAGCAAACCGGATGGACATCATGAAAATGATCGGAGAGGTTGAGAGTAGAAGTAGTTCAGGAGCAAAAAAATAAATAAAAAATAAATATATATATATATATATATATATATATATATATGTATGTATATATATATATATATATATATATATATATATGTATATATATATATATATATATATATATATATATATATATATATATATATATATATATATATATATATATATATAGAATTATTGTAAAATTAACTCTGTCCATAAGGTGTAGATAGTAAGTATAGACCGGAAGTAGAGGCCTGGGCGTTGTTGTTCACTAATTTACTCCAAGTAGGGAAAGGATGGTGGGGTTGAAAAGTAATAAAGGGGAATATATATAAAAAATAAAAAAAACATGGGGGATTGGAAGTGATGCAGACAATTACATTGATAGAAGATACAATCTATCTGCAATATTAAGCTGATCCATCCCCCCCCCCCCAAAAAAAAAAAAAAATAAAAAAAAAAATATTATTAAATATTTAAAAAAATATTAAAAAAATAACCTCCAATAGATGGTGTTGTAGCCTGGCAGCGCGCTCTGTATTTGGGCCTACTGTCAGATTCAGACTGCGCTCAGTCATCATAGCCACTTCATTGCTTGATGACTTTTGACGTGAAAAATGAGTGCTGCGAAAATGAGAAAAGTGGACTCTGAATGTCTTGTGTTTAAAGAATGGACACCAAAATACTTTTTTACTAATATTGGACATAAAGCGGTATGTCTGATATGCCAAGAAAGTGTTGCCGTTTTTAAGGAATATCATCTCAATCATCATTATTCAAGCAAGCATGCTAACTACTCTAGCAATCTGTCATCTCAGGAAAAGGCAAGGAAGGCCTCAAAACTTGCAACAAACTTAAAATCCCAACAAAATATGTTTACTAAAGGTGCTCTACTCAAGACTCTGTAACTAAGGCAAGCTATGTAGTGGCACATTAAATCGCAAAGCATAGCAAGGATTATGCTTTTTCATGGTGACAGTTATGCAGTGAGAATGATCCAGCAATGCACATGGATACAGGTAATAACTAATCAGTCAGATTTGGGCTGAGGTGATTGGATAACTGTAAATATGGCTCACAATAGAGATGAGAATTGAGTTTGCATATTGTGACTGTAAGTTTGATTGTACTTTACAAGGGTAGAGATGCAGGATCTGTGAGTGTGTTTGACTGTGTCTGTGATGTTATAAATTATATCAATTTTGTGAACATTTTGGGAAAAATATGTTCACAACAAACAAGGGTAGAGATGGTACAAGGGTAGAATTGTTCTGCAAGCTTATGTACACTTACAGTACACTAGTAGTTGCGTGTCAATGTGAAAATGAAAAGGCTTCACATGTTTTGTCACGCGTATAGTATGTGGCCCTTCACTTGGTTTCAAAAACTCAATGTGGCCCTTGAGCCAAAAGGTTTGCCCACCCCTGCACTAGACCATGATATACTGTCAAAACTGAAAAGATATCATGTGTAAATGCACAGCAAATTCCCCAGTGTTAAATTAACACAGAAAATGTGTACCCATATTATACGAAAGACTATTGAGAGTAAATATTAGTTCACCATAGGAGAGCTGTAGCAGATTGTAGCCATATTATTGTGTTAACCTGCCATTTACTATTGTATTTAATGTAGCTCTTTTCAGAACCACACACACTCTTGGTTAACACAATTGTCAAGCCATACACTGTGCTGTGCCGTTACTGCTCTGTGAATCAGCGTCATTAAACAACCTCAACTGGAATCCTACCGGTCTGTCATCTTTGCCCTTACAAGCACCTGGGAGAGAACACATAGTGCTAAGTAAAACCTAACCCTACAGAATATACAGTCCACCAAGTCCCCAACTACACGTATAGACACTGAACAGTGTTGAATTAACACACTGCTTAGTGTAATAGTTTATTTGCATATTTCCCAGAGTGCCTTGCCTTTCAAGTGAATTGTAGAGTTACCACCAGAGAGGAAGAGGAAGAGAGAGGCCCAACTCGGCTGAAAATCTGACTCCCTCCAACAGGTGGCGTTTTTTCTTTGTTTCCCATTGTTAGGGCGGAGAGACAGATCTTGTCAGTATATCCATAATCTTTGGTTACCGCCCATGACTGAATTTGTTACTGACAGTGACATGCTTGTTGCATTCATCAATTTTCAGTTCTATGGGCTTCACCAAGTGAGATCCTAAGTGAATATGTTATCATTAAAATTTAATTATTTAATACAATAAAATATGTATTTCATAAGGCCTTATTTTGAGGGCATACACTTAAACATACTGGGTTGTTTGGATGACCCAACTGCTGGGTTGCAGGCATTGGGTCACAAAGGGCTCTATTCAATCAGATCTGCTTTAGCCGACATTCGCATTGCGGTTGTTTTGGCGGTGTCAGAGGTGGAACTGTGTTAGAGCTGTCAAATCCACATGCAGCTCCTGGCATTATACTGTACCTAAAGCGGACATTGCCATTGGCTGCACCGAGTCGCATTAACAGAAATCCCATGCAGCCTTGTTTACAAGTTTGAATGTGAGATGAAATCTACAGCTCAATTAGTTTAATGATTATTTAGTTTAATGATTTTTCTATTTGAGAGTAATTATTTCTATATAGCCTACACGTTCTCGTTCTGAACTTCTAACGCGAGTGGGGCGGGTGTGGCTTCCTGACAATGATTGCAAGAGCAGCTGCTCACCGATTTGACAGCTCCAACACAGTTCCATCAAATCATCCACTATGCAGGTGTCTGCTATTGCTGGTTAACGCTTGATCTGAATGAATCTAGGCCTTAGTTGGGTTGTTTTTTTTAAAAGAGCAAGGTTTGTTGATGCTGGGTTATTGAGATATGACACAGCAAGTCAGATTAGAAGACTGGAGGCTTGGCTTAGTAGGGGTGTTCCTTTCAGTAAGTTATTTTTGGCCACCCGTGAGAGTAAATGTCATTCCGGTTTATATTTTCTGTTCAATTGTTATCACATGTTACGGTCGAACACAGACACTTTTGTATCTATAATTAATCTTACAGAAGTGTATGCGTTCCTTAAAAGCCTATGCAAATTCCAAAGTGATAACCCCAATGGGATAGTAACCACTTTGTTGCAATATGTAAATAATAATGTTAATATTTTTGTATTACAATATGTAATGTGCAATAATATTCAAAGAAAATTTAACATTGCAGTGTACAAACTTTACATGATCAACTGGATTTACATTTACTCTCACGGGTGGTCAAGAATATCTGTATAACAGCCAAGCCCCTAATAAATCAGGCCTACTGAAAATAACCTATAGATTAAATTTAAAATACACAGCTACTTGGTCAACCCAGCATGAAAGTGAATAAAATCCCAATTGATGGTTAAATTAACCCATGTTTGGGTAATCTGAGCAACCCAACATGTTGGGTTATTCATGCAACCTGTCACATTATGCTGACTTGCAAAGTGATGTGTAATTCCGATTGAAATCCAGCCAGAGTGGGGATATCTAACCTTTGGAATTTTTTACCACCCACAATCTGCATTCAGAATGACTGCCAGGATTGGGAAGACTGAAATATGAGACTACCTTAAACTTCTAAACTGGAACAACCATTTCAGTAACGGGTGCAATAAGTTTAGAAAATGTATGTCATTTATATTTCAGAAGCATAAGATTAATTAATCAATCAATGTACATGCAAAAACATAGATATTGAAACAAACAATTCTTAAAATCAACCTGCAATACAGCATGCTGGAAAATATGATAATGTACTTGGTTCAACTCTGGTTAATAACACCAACACTTGGGCATTTTACACCAATGAGTGTTAATTCAACACTTACAGAGTTAATTGTTATGTTTAGAGTGTAGGCCCTCAAAATAAGGTCTTATGAAATACGCATTATATTGTGTTAAATAATTAAATTTTAATGATAACATATTCGCTCACGATCTCACTTGGTAAAGTCCACAGGACTGAAAATGGATGAATGCAACAACCATGTCTCTGTCACTAACAAATACAGTTATGGGTGATAACGCTACAATTCACTCAAAAAGCAAGGCACTCTGGGAAATAAGGCTTTACACCAAGCAGTGTGTCAATTTAACACTGTTCCAGTGTCTATACGGGGCAACACTTTCAGTTTTAATTTAACACTCTTAGTGTTACATTTAAAACTGGAGAATTTGCTGTGTGGAATAACTAAGATGATACCTCAGCCAAGTGTTAGATTGCTCTTATGTGGATCTTTCTTTATTGCTGTTTTATATTCTACTCTCATATTCTATGTAAGGGATAATCAACGAGGGGCTATGCGTTCTATGGAAAATTATGAAAAAACGTGGAAGGTGTGTCCCCGATGCGCTAGTGGAGTAGAACTGACCTTCCACAGTTGCATTATTTTCCAGAGAACGCGTAGAGCACCGAGTTGATTATCCCTTTTATACAATGGCTATAATTTAATACATTTACCGCTAGAAATGTGTTCATTTGCCAGTAGAAATGTGTTCAACATCCACTGAAGTAGCTAGCAAGTTTACTAGATAGCTATAGTAGTTGCCGTGGTAACCAAACAAACAGACTTGCTAGTTTAACTAACCAAACCATCAGTCCTAGCTTGCTATTATGAAAATCGAATTCAACAATGGCAATAATGTTTTCAATTCGACATTTGCTTTCAAAAGCAGCTCAAACATAGAACATGTAAGAATGAACTATAGCCATTGAATTCTACTGTGCAAATATACTGTGCGTTACAGGGAATTATAAACTGGGTGGTTCGAGCCCTGAATGCTGATTGGCTTACAGCCGTGGTATATCAGACCGTGTACCACGGGTATGATAAAACATTTATTTTTACTGCTCTAATTACGTTGGTAACCAGTTTATAATAGCAATAAGGCACCTCTGGGGTTTGTGGTATATGGCCAGTATACCATGGCTAAGGGCTGTATACCACGCCCCCTTGTGCCTTATTTCTTAAATAATGCACACTCTAGAATGCCCATCAATCCAATCAGAAATAAGTATTCAACAATGCCATGGTATAATCTAGAATAATCTAATATTCTTTAAGATTCTACAGGTTCTGATCAGATCTAGCCTACTGTTCTACGGATGTGTTTTAGTGTTGTGTTTTCCTCTGACTGTGCAGCATATGGAGGGGATTATCTAGGTCAGCAAGTTTTAGTCCTGCTGTCTCTTTAAAATGTTATGAGATTAGTCAAACCACATCCAGATTTATACTGAAATTCATTCCAAGTGTTATAATAATAGTTTTTTTTCCCTCAAATAAATATATTTCAATAACCGCAGCAGCAGGTGAATAGGAGAAACCAAATATGCTGATATAGCCACACACACAGGTAGCATTTTTATGTATTCATTCTCTCACAGCAAGTGGCAAAAATATAGATAGCCTACTAAATAACGCTGGAAAATATACATACCATACAGTCTAATAAAGTAAATAGATTTGTCCATCAAATGGCAGTAAAACGACTCTCCACGTCGACCAGCGCTGAGCATGCCTAATCTGATTTAGCCTATTGTTTGCACTGACCAGAGGATTTTAGAGAAGTAGGCTACCGCGCAGTTCCATTCATTGCCGGTCCCTACAAAGTTTTATTTTATTTTACATCTTTATCAACACCATTATATTTACTTGCTTTGAGTTCCTAAATTTTACGTAAATGTACACAATATTCGTAAGAAAAAAACAAGTCAATTAAGGTTATTTCGATCGTTTCTATTTGACAAGTGTCAGGGCCCATGGGTGAAAATCAGGACAGTCACACACATAAATCACAAAAAACATCTGAACAAAATGGTTGAAATTGTTGAAATTACATGTTACATAATATGTCACCGAAAATAAGTCGACAATGCTCACCATGATAGGTCTTTGTGCAGGGGATGAGGAGAAAAAAGTAAAAGAATGAAGAGCTTGTTTTTCTAAACTTGCAGCTTGAGGTGTGCGATATCTGAAGGTAATCCCAGGAGTGACGCGTCGACTATTCAGTATTAGTCTGGGGGAAAACTTCTAGCCTTATTGCCCAGATTTTTTTCCTAGCGTAATTTATTCTTTGAATAGGTTAATTTTACTAAACAGTATATGCTCCTTTGAAGCTGTAGCCTAAACTTGAAACATTTGTACCGAGGCTGAAACTTCAGGAGGACAGGTCAGCTGCCATTCGTTCGCAGGTTGACGTTTATTGTCATTAGTCTTGTCCTGGAGGCAGAATTGAGCGATTTCCCCTTTAGACTAGATAGGCCAGCTGCAAAGTCAAAATTAGCTATATTATAAAAATGTATATATATTTTTCTAAATAGCATTTTTTTTGTCTTAAATTAAGATTAGGGTTAGGCATTAGGGTTAGCGGTATGCTTAAGGCTAGGTTTAATATTAGGGTTAGGTTTAAATTAGATTTGATTACTTTGTGGCTGTGCCAGCTAGTGACCACTCTGCAGAGCTGCCTCCAGAACAAGAATCATGACGAAAAAATCTAACCTGCCGTTCATTCAATGAAAGAGAACACAAACAACCAGTCAGGATTACTGACCTAAGTAGTACATTTATTACATTTTAAAAGCAGTACATTTACATTATAATTGGCTATATTCAACCCATGCCAAAAATGCTTTATAAATCTTGCACAGAGGTTTTTGCTGTTACACAAGTGGAATAAGGAATATATCCTTTATTAAAAAGCTATTAATATGCAGTTACTAAACTATTATGTAACAAAATGTAAATACAATATTGTTAACAGTATTATTACAGTGTTATTACACAGGAATAAGAACAACAATGTTAAGTTTTACTAAAACCTGATTTTGTGCTTTATCTACCAAATTCATGATAACTATAGCTATATAAGCTGAAATACATTTAATAAGAAAATTATTTAAAAAGAGAATGTACTTTTGTCAGAAAACACATTTATTTTTCCAATACAGTAGTCACTTGATACGCTGCATTTTGCTAAGAATTCTTTTGAAATCATGTTGAGAACTTCTGCTTCCTGAATAAGTAGCACCTAGTTTTCCATTTAGTAATCCTCTCCCTACTCCTCTCCCTCCTCCTCCTCTCCCTCCACCTCTCCCGCCTCCTCTCCCTCCTCCTCTCCCTGCTCCTCTACCTCCACCTCTCCCCCCTCCTCTCCCTCCTCCTCTCCCTCCTCCTCTCCCTCACCCTCAATGGAGTCAACCCCCACCTCTTCATAATCTTTCATCATCTGATTGGCTGGTTCAAAGAAGGCATTGGTGATTTCAGAGACAGAGACCTGCTCATGGTATGCCTTCTCTGCAGGGATAACTGGGGCATATGTAGCCAGAGGGAAATGGATATGGGGATAGGGTACCAAGCTGGTCTAGAACTCTGTCAGATCAACATTGAGAGCACCATCGAATTGAAGGGAAGCAGTGATGGAGGAAACAATCTGTCCAATGAGCCTGTTGAGGGAGTAACTACAATGTCGCTGATCCATCCTCAGTTTTCTCCTATCACAGCCATTAAACTCTGTAACTGTTTCCTTCCTCTCTGGCAACTGAGTTAGGAAGGACGCCTGTATCTTTGTAGTGACTGGGTGTATTGATACACCATCCAAAGTGTAATTAATAACATTACCATGCTCAAAGGGATAGTCAGTCAGCTTTTATTTTAGTTTTCATCTTCCAATTGATTACCTTCTTTGCGAGGCATTGGAAAATCTCCCTGGTCTTTGTGGTTGACTCAGTGTTGAAAATTTTTCAAAAACATAATTCTACTTTGACTTTATGGAGTAGTGTGTGTAAGCCAGTGACAAAACATCTCAATTGAATTCATTTTAAATTCAGGCTGAAACACATCAAAATGTGGAGAACGTCAAGGGGTGTGAATACATTCTGAAGACACTGTAACACACACACGCTTACCGACAGAACACACACACACACACACACACACACATATAGTGGGGAAAAAAGTATTTAGTCAGCCACCAATTGTGCAAGTTCTCCCACTTAAAAAGATGAGAGAGGCCTGTAATTTTCATCATAGGTACACGTCAACTATGACAGACAAAATGAGAGAGAAAAAATCCAGAAAATCACATTGTAGGATTTTTTATGAATTTATTTGCAAATGATGGTGGGAAATAAGTATTTGGTCAATAACAAAAGTTTCTCAATACTTTGTTATATACCCTTTGTTGGCAATGACACAGGTCAAACGTTTTCTGTAAGTCTTCACAAGGTTTTCACACACTGTTGCTGGTATTTTGGCCCATTCCTCCATGCAGATCTCCTCTAGAGCAGTGATGTTTTGGGGCTGTCGCTGGGCAACACAGACTTTCAACTCCCTCCAAATATTTTCTATGGAGTTGAGATCTGGAGACTGGCTAGGCCACTCCAGGACCTTGAAATGGTTCTTACGAAGCCACTCCTTCGTTGCCCGGGCGGTGTGTTTGGGATCATTGTCATGCTGAAAGACCCAGCAACGTTTCATCTTCAATGCCCTTGCTGATGGAAGGAGGTTTTCACTCAAAATCTCACGATACATGGCCCCATTCATTCTTTCCTTTACACGGATCAGTCGTCCTGGTCCCTTTGCAGAAAAACAGCCCCAAAGCATGATGTTTCCACCCCCATGCTTCACAGTAGGTATGGTGTTCTTTGGATGCAACTCAGCATTCTTTGTCCTCCAAACACGACGAGTTGAGTTTTTACCAAAAAGTTCTATTTTGGTTTCATCTGACCATATGACATTCTCCCAATCCTCTTCTGGATCATCCAAATGCACTCTAGCAAACTTCAGACGGGCCTGGACATGTACTGGCTTAAGCAGGGGGACACGTCTGCCACTGCAGGATTTGAGTCCCTGGCGGCGTAGTGTGTTACTGATGGTAGGCTTTGTTACTTTGGTCCCAGCACTCTGCAGGTCATTCATTAGGTCCCCCCGTGTGGTTCTGGGATTTTTGCTCACAGTTTTTGTGATCATTTTGACCCAACAGGGTGAGATCTTGCGTGGAGCCCCAGATCGAGGGAGATTATCAGTGGTCTTGTATGTCTTCCATTTCCTAATAATTGCTCCCACAGTTGATTTCTTCAAACCAAGCTGCTTACCTATTGCAGATTCAGTCTTCCCAGCCTGGTGCAGGTCTACAATTTTGTTTCTGGTGTCCTTTGACAGGTCTTTGGTCTTGGCCATAGTGGAGTTTGGAGTGTGACTGTTTGAGGTTGTGGACAGGTGTCTTTTATACTGATAACAAGTTCAAACAGGTGCCATTAATACAGGTAACGAGTGGAGGACAGAGGAGCCTCTTAAAGAAGAAGTTACAGGTCTGTGAGAGCCAGAAATCTTGCTTGTTTGTAGGTGACCAAATACTTATTTTCCACCATAATTTGCAAATAAATTCATAAAAAATCCTACTCAATTTGTCTGTCATAGTTGACGTGTACCTATGATGAAAGTTACAGGCCTCTCTCATCTTTTTAAGTGGGAGAACTTGCACAATTGGTGGCTGACTAAATACTTTTTCCCCCACTGTACATACACAAACACTTTTACACTCATCATTTGCTGCTGCTACTTCGTTCTTTATTTTACTCTTATTATTTTCTATCCTGATGTCTAGTCACTTTACCCTGCCTTTATGTACATATCTACCTCAAATACAGTGCCTTGCAAAAGTATTCATCCCCCTTGGCGTTTTTCTTATTTTGTTGCATTACAACCTGTAATTTAAATTGATTTTTATTTGGATTTCATGTAATGGACATACACAAAATAGTCCAAATTGGTGAGGTAAAATGAAAAAAATAACTTGTTTAAAATAATTATACAAAATAAATAACGGAAAAGTGGTGCGTGCATATGTATTCACCCCCTTTGCTATGAAGCCCCTAAATAAGATCAGGTGCAACCAATTACCTTCAGAAGTCACATAATTAGTTAAATAAAGTCCACCTGTGTGCAATCTAAGTGTTACATGATCTCAGTATATATACACACCTGTTCTGAAAGGCCCCAGAGTCTGCAACACCACTAAGCAAGGGGCACCACCAAGCAAGCGGCACCATGAAAACCAAGGAACTCTCCAAACAGGTCAGGGACAAAGTTGTGGAGAAGTACAGATCAGGGTTGGGTTATAGAAAAATATCAGAAACTTTGAACATCCCACGGAGCACCATTAAATCTATTATTAAAAAATTGAAAGAATATAGCACTACAACAAACCTGCCAAGAAAGGGCCACCCACCAAAACTCACGGACCAGGCAAGGAGAGCATTAATCAGAGAGGCAACAAAGAGACCAAAGATAACCCTGAAGGAGCTGCAAAGCTCCACAGCGGAGATTGGAGGATTTGTCCATAGGACCACTTTAAGCCGTACACTCCACAGAGCTGGGCTTTACGTAAGAGTGGCCATAAAAAAAGCCATTGCTTAAAGAAAAAAATAAGCAAACACGTTTGGTGTTCGCCAAAAGGCATTCTTGAGAGAAACCTGTTTCAGTCTTCCAGAGATTTGAGACTGGGATGGAGGTTCAC